TCTGAACAGATACCTCAATACTCTGATACCCTCTCCGACGGAATGTATCACCGTTCGGGTTGTAGACGCCTAAAACCTTTCAGTTCGGCCGACTTTTTCTCTTCGCTTAAGGCGAATGGGTCCCCTCTGCCGTTTAAGGTCCGCGGCTAAGCGGAGGGAGTTTTACGAAAGGTGGTTAAAGACGCCAGCATTTGGGTTGTGGTTGGCTCAGCAAGAGGAAGTAGTGCAGAAGACGCTGCAGGACAAATGGGCTGTTGGATGTCAAGTTGGTTCCTGTCGATTACCACCGAGCGCATCATAGACGAGCTTCCTTAAATCCGTATAAGTAGTCAGGAACATGTTATTCCGCGAAGTAGATCTTCATCAATTTTCAAGTCAGCGGTGTGACGAGAAGGTTAAGCGCCAGCTGCGCCACCGATAACAAGTAGAACCAAACAACTCTTTCCGCTATAGAACATGACGGATTTGGTGAAGTTCGCCAAGAATCTCTTGCTTTCCGCTCTTCCACGTCGCTGTCGCGCAACTTGTACGCTTCTCGCTGCGCTCTACGGGTCTTTTCTCTGTTCTTATTGTTGCTTTGCTCTACGTCCTGTATTTCGCTCAGTTGGGCGCGTAATCATTGTCACTGTATCCATACTTATCATGTAAGAGCTCCTCTACTTGTTTGTGTAGCTGACGTGGGTAGTGCGTACAGGCGGCTTCGTGATGCCCCGTGTGGAAGTTTTGCCTCGTTGTCATCTGTGTTACCCTCATGTCTGTTGGTACTCAAATCCTGTCATTTTACTTTTTTCTAGTGCAAAAGACTTTCTATTCTTCTGCTTGAGTCAGCGAAATCATGCCTGAGGAAGATTATGACATCTACGGCGAATACGAAGCTTATGCTGCTGTCAGAGCCAACCAGGTGGGCACATAAAATGCGTCTACTTGGTTGAGCACCTAATTGGACTGACTGTATGCGCGCTTAAAGGGTATTGAGGGACAGGAATTCGACGCAAAGGAAGAGCCGGTGGAGGCTATGACGACCGAAGTCGAACCCTCGATAGGTGAGAAACGGCCTCGGAGCGATGAAGATGAGGAGGAAGAAGCAAAGCCGTCACCCGTCCAAAACTCGCCTCAGGCCCCTCACGTTCAGTCAGTCCAGCAAGGTCCGGTCAGGACCGAAGGTATCTCGCATGGCGTCGTGAACGGTAACTACAACGCCGTAGTGCAAAACGGTGGTCAGATGGGAGGCGGGATGGACCCGTCGATGGTGGGCTATGATGCACTGTATATTGGTGATTTGCAATGGGTCCGTTTGTCCCGTCGTTTAGAATCCTGTGTATATCTTTCTAAGCCTGTTTTGGTGCTTCTCTCTCCTACAGTGGACGACAGATGAGGACCTGCGTCAAGTCGCTCTTAATGTCGGCGTGTCAATCGATCACCGTGACATCACCTTTTCTGAACACAAGGTGAACGGCAAGAGTAAAGGGTGAGCAGCTTCTTGGCAAAAGTGAGGCGTCACTCAGTCGCACTAGTATTGCCTACGTGGAGTTCAGTAGTTTCGAGAACGCCAACGCCGTCAAAACATGGTTCGATAATAAGTATGTGGGGCCTGCCGCCTTTGCAGATGCCAAAGCTGACCTTGCATCCAGCGACTTCCAAAATCGACGTGCTACAGCAACTCTGGACAAATTCTTCGCAAGGCAATCCGTTCCGTACACTCCCTAAAGGTCTGTTTATCGCCTAGGGCATTGGATCAGCTTTGTTTAATCATGACTCCAGAACCACCGCCACGAGATACCCGAACCAGCCAACAAGCAACCCCTGTTCCCACCTCAGGGACAAACATGGGTCGCGCTCAACAGGGAACTTCCGCGGTGGTACTTCCAACCAGATGGGGGGAGGTATGATGGGTGCACAAGGTCGCGGGGGGCGGTATGACGAGCAACATGATGCGCGGTGGCATGCCCACAATGATGGGTAACATGGGTATGGGCATGGGCATGGGCGGCATGAACATGATGGGAATGGGGAACATGGGCATGGGTATGGGAGGCTTCGGTGGGCGCGGCGGCATGATTCCCCAGGGACCCCGAGGAGGTGGTATGATGGTGGGTGGACGTGGTGGCATGGGAGGAATGGGGTATGGGCTTCTAACGGTCTCCTGCATGTGGGATTGTTGTTCTTACTTGCACTTGATGTACTCTATAGGTATGGGAATGATGGGAGGACGCGGCGGCTTCGGCATGCAAGGTCACTTCAATCCAGCATTCATACAAGGGCAGCAAGGCGGTCAGTTCGGTGGCGGCGGCTCAGATAGGAAGCGATTCCGAGCGGACGATAATTGATGATGCATCAAGGCAAGCGCCATCCAAAACACCTGTGGATCGACGTATCTAAGTATTTATTTATTTCTATCCTCCGCTCCTTCGTATCGTGCGTTCAGCATTTTAACTTGTTGATATTTGCTTTTTCCTTGTCGCTGTTGACATTGCTGATGTTCAATAACCTATCCTTGTAATATTGAAACATGCGTCGATCTATTCTGTCTGCTGGTGAACTAGGAAGGTATTGCATTGCACGAAGAGCATGGGTACGACTCCAGAGACTGAATACATGGTGTAACATATAAACAAGATTGCGTTGACTGATAGAACAAAAGTGATGGTGATTTATGATTTATGGTATGCGTATATCACATCTAAAGCATCAAGAAAGACAACGGGGCAGGTTCCACCATCCATGAGGGTATGAAATGTCCATGAAATATAGCATGCCGAAGTCAGAAAAATTCCTTGCCTTATCCCCGCCTCTCCTTCATCTCCCTTTCCTTCTTCTTGCGACGTTTCTCTTCCTCGTGGCGTTTCTCCTGTTCAAGGGCTGCTTCATCCTCTTTCCTGGCGAGACGCGCACTACAAATATCTTTGTCAACGATGGTATCGTCGCCAAAGGTGGAATCACTGACCTTCTGAGTTCCTCCCGCTCAAGAACGCCGGCATCGACTTCCATATCATCATCGTCGCTATATACATCCTGTTCAACGTATGCACGGCGGTCCTTGCCGAATAGTTTCCAGATTTCATTACTGTAAGATTCCGCTTCAGCTGAGGCAGGACGCCTCTTCGGAGGAGGGGGGGATAACGAAGAGGATGGGGAACGGGGTCGTTTCTTAGTTGGCCCGGCGGAGCGTGCTGCAGCTGACGGTTTACAGGCAGGCACCTTCATTGAAACAGTCGAGGTTGCAGTCGACCTGGGTTTCGCCTCAGTCTTTAAAGACTTCGAGCTATCTGCGCTTTTAGACTGGGAAGTCTTTGAAAACGATAGGACAGCAGACTTTGGAGCAGCTGTGCTCTTGGGGGGGCCAGAGTGGGCTTGTCCTACAAAGTCGCATCGAAGATGTAACAATGATGTGAAGGATGTTGCCGACAAAACACTCACTGGATGAAGGGCTAGGGGAATTGGAGCCAGAAGACGCTCGAGATGGGGCAGCCGTAGATGCTTGAGCACTAGCCTTGCTTGTCTCCTTCTTCCCCTTACCAAACCAGTCATTGAACTCTTTGGCGTCGTCGCCGTCCAACGTTGCGGTTTTCGCCTTGGCTCTGTCCTGCAAAATCTCGTCTATGGTCCGCGTATCTCGCTTGTGGACGTTGAGCTTGGTTAAGGTATTAGGGAGTGCAGCAAGGCGAGCCTTGACAGACTGCGAGCTGTTACAGCTGTCCGAGTTTGGCGCTGACGTGGCGTCGATGGCGCCTCCTGGAAGTCGCCTGCCGGCTTTGTGGTAGCCGGAAGATGTGCCAGCCCGTTTAATGGCATAACCCCTGCGCATGTCGGCTTCAAGCCTGCGCCGCCGTTTCTCCTCGCGAGTGAGAGCCATGGCTGGAGAGCCGGAACGGGAGCCGCTCTCGTCATCTGACGGCAATCTGCGCCTGCGAACGTCGTCCTTCGAGGTTCCGTTGGACGATGGCCACTTAGGGCCCAACTTGGCCTTCTTTGGACCATAAAGCAACGCATTGCGTTGTTCCTCCTCCCGCCTTGCCTGCTCTTCCTGCATGCGTCTCATCTCTGCTTCTCTCTTGAGCAACAATTCTCGTTGCTTCTTCTCGTCCTCGAATCTCTTCTGTCGGAGCTTGGCAGCTTCTTCACGCTCCTTTTTCTCAGATTCCTCCCGCTTTTTCCGTTGGAGCTCCTCGTTACGTTGTCGCTGCTGTAGAGCGCTTTGGACGGCGTTTTGGGACTCCTTAGTTTGTGAGGCGCTTAGCGCCATCAGAGCAGCGAATGACATTATGGTAGTCAGGCTCAGCCTGTGGATAATGTAGAGTTAGGTGAAAGCGAACGAGGGGCGCTCAGCAGATATGATGGTGGGGGTTCGAGGGGCAGTGCCTTGGCTTAAGTATGTGCCACTGTGTGGGTGGCGGTGTGAGTTACGGTGGACAGCTGTCACACTTTCACAAGGGGCTTTGTGACATGCTGTGACAAATCATCCGAAAAGTATGATAGGGGCTATGCACTAATTTGTAATTTGTCAATTTTCCCTGTGCCTCTGCAGTGTGAGTGAACCCTGATAAAATAACACATACACCACGATCTGGCTGGTTGATGTCCGTCTGGCCTAAGTCTTATCAAAGAGCGGTTCCGAAAGAATTAGCCAATGATGGAAGCTCTTTTGAGAGCTCTTGAGAGGAAATTAGAGATCCGAGAGTATCACGAACAGTCAGCGGAGTCACCTTCCCGGAGAAAGAGGATGTCCGCTCGGAGGAGAATTAGGCGACGTTGAAGCATACTCGCCTTAGTGAGGGGATGATATCTTCTTTATTTTGCATACATAAAGTTTCGAACTTTTCTTTGCAGTACTGGGCCCTTGAAGATATTTGGTTTCCCATTAGGGTACGGACGATAAGTCATCCAACTGTTATTAACCTATGTTAAAAATCAAGTAGGATGCGTAGGGTTATTAACAAGCATGTTATTAACATGTTATTAACAGTCACGTGACCTAAAATTTGAAAATTTCACTACAGCTACTACCAAAATTCGTCCCACTCGTTGTCCATGCCTTCTAGGTCAGCATCATCCTCCGTAGCATCACCTTGAGTGCTACACAGGCCATTGATAGGACTTTCCTCGTGTTCATCAGACAAGGCCTTGGTGACAATTAGTGCGTGAAGTTTTGCATCTGCTTCAATGTCAAAGGCTGAATCCTCCGCCGGTTTAGCCGCTAGTGTCTCATCGAGCCAAGTGCCTTCTTCGTCTTCAAGGATTTCTTCCTGCTCATCTGTGCCCACAGATAGATAGCTGCCAGTGGTTTCGTGGCTTCGACGAGCAGCTGATTTTTTGGGTGAGGAAATGATGGAGTCAAGATCGCAGAATGAAATGTCTGGATGCCGTCGTTCAAACCATTTTCTAAGGGGCATGAGTTATCAATACAGGCCACTGAATAAGACACTGACCTTTGGATCATACATATGCCATTGTCGAATCTGAGTCATGTCCACCAACGTCCGGACATGTTGACGGTTCCTGGCTGGTGTATTCATCCTCGTGAATACCGACATTGTTCATTCCTCGGGCACAGATGAGGGCTTTATTGAATAAATTTTTTCTGCAATACACTGGAGATAAAGCTTGAGTTATGAGTAGTCAGGACTGGCTGAAACTCACAGCAAGTATGGAGCCTTCAGGTATCTTTGTCAAGTGAGTCCAGTATGAGAGGACGTCCTGACCAGCATCCATCATTGTGTCAAAAGGGTATTGTCCTTTCACATAGTGCTCGAACTGGCGAACGAAAGCTTCACGAACATCAGCAGCTGTTTGTCCTTTGAGTGTGGGGTTGTGCTGGGACTCATTAGGTTGATGTTTGGTGAGGAAGGCTTCCGCCTGTCGCCAGTTGCTTTGGACGTCCAAGAGAGTATAGGCTTGGCACCAAAACGTCAGAATCCAGAATGGAAAAGGTTGTTCGATGTCGGCATGGGCATAGATAATAGACCGGCTACCACCCGATATTGCATGTTGCACCCCTTCTAGGAGCTTGTGCAGAACCGCAAGCTGGGGAAGCGGCTGCGTGCGGAGATAATCGAGATATAAGCTGTCCTCAGGTGGGGAGTCAGTGCTAAAGTATTTGCGCAATGGCGGAGCAGTGGTAATTGAAGCTGACGGGAGTGAGAATTGAAGGAATGACGAGACAGACAGATTCTTGTCTGGGAGAATAATGGATTGCACTGATACAGGAATAATGAGAATATCATCTGAGGCTTTTGTGTCGACGATGTCAGCCATTTCGAGTGCTCGACTGGTGCAAGAGGGAGGGAAAACAAGTTGAAAACTTCATTGCGAGACACTCGAGTCCCATGTCAGACAACAGCTTGCTTCTCTGCAAGATTTGCGTTGCAAACTTCTAAGTCAATGATCTGCGAGGAACAGCAGAAGGTCGGAAGGCGACTCACAAAGACTATGGGGGTCAATAGACTTATTAGCACCATGTCACCCCCCCACGGCCGTGTGCCTGTTATTAACATGTTAATAACATGTTAATAACACACCTTTCTTAGCAGTGTTATTAACAACCCACTTTTCGTCCGTACCCTATTTCCCATGCTGTCAATGACATCACGGAACTGCTGCCGACTGGTCCATCAACCAATCGTAAGCCCTTTTTAGCATCATTCAATCTACTGATCTCCCGTGTGCATTCGCTAATTGGTGGATGATATAGATTCATATGGATACCACCTCTCACCGTTTCCCAAAAGTCCCTCTGACAACAGAGAGATGTCTACTCGCCATGACCCGGATTAGAAAGACCGCCTGGGAGTTGCAGTCCGTTGGGCATGGGATATCGTCCTACCAGTTGACCGAGAGCGGATGCTTTGCTGTTGGGCACTTAGGCATTAGTATTACCCATTCAAACACAACTGATACTAAGTAGCATTTCCGATACAGTTGACTGTCATCTTAACACGAAACCAAGCTCATCAAAAAAAGAAAGGGTTTCAATGCGATGGCGGCCCCCTCTTATGCCCCCCTGCGTGAAATCCTGAAATCCGCCTTCACGAGCCTGGGGGAGATGTTCATGTGATCTTTAACGACCATCTGATCGTACTTCAGAAGCCTGTCACGGAAGTCCTCCTTATCATGCTCAAAGACCCCAGTCATCGCGCAGAGGTGTTCGACATCCTTACTCAGTTCAAGTAATTGACCAAGAGGATGCTCGTGTTTGGGCCTACGCTGGAGGACGAGAATCTGATTGTTCTTCTTGCCGACTGGGAGAGCGTTGAGGTAGGCGTGGAGATTATCGTGATTTTGGATCTACTGATGCTATATTTGACTTCTATAGGCTCCTTTGGAGACGGTCGCTAGTCCTGAGCTACAAGCTCTGACTGAACATCTATTCACACTGCCTTGACCCCTTACCACTGAAAGCAGTAGTTGATGTCGCATACAAAGCAAAAATTGTATATTATAAGATCCTGCATCATGATAGATTGATACTTTATCCATTCAAATGCTGAGAAGGTCCAATAAGAATAACTCCAACAGTGAGACACATCAGCCGAATCATTGGAGGAACAACATAGTGAAGGGAGATGTGATTCCATTCGCAGAGAGAAGTAGAACATACATCAATCCGCGTAGTCACTTAGTTAGTCGACCATAGGCAAAATATACGCAATAGATCCTAGAGTTTATGGACAATTCATCCACCAACTCGAACACTGAACCTGTGGGATATGAGATAAGAGGGCGATGTCTTGACTATGAGCAATCGATGCGTCATGCAAATAACATAATAAACATTGCATGTTGGTCAGTTTGAACTTTGGGGTAAGAAATATCCGGGAATGATTACAATATCTGGACTTACCTGGGGTGCATCAGCATTGACCATCTGATGTCCCAGGTATTAGCTATGTTGGATCCTGACTCAAAATGCAACACTATCAAATAAAAAGACGCAGTGGAAAATCTCCCAGAACTCATAGGTCAAGACTAGTGAAATACGAAACTCGATGACAATGTCCGCGAAAAGCTCTTTTGATCCAAGACACCCTCAGGGGCCTCAGGGAAAACACCCGCGGGCATAAGATTCGTTAACGTCGATCCCACAATCGTCGGGGAAGGAAGAGCGACGCGCAGATGCCCAGACAGACAAGGGAATCATATAATAGTAGACGATCCATGCTTGGTGAGGGTTCTTGATAGAGAGCGAGAATATAGAGTGGCGGATGCGGGACCGATCGTTCGGACGATCGAAACCACCCAACTGAGCGATCCCATTCGTTGCGCCAAGAGATGCATGGTTCGGAGACGCTGCGGCGATATAAATAAATACGCAAGCTGAGGGGGATCATGATCAACGCAAAGAATCGTGATATAATGCGGAACTAACAATACGCCAGATTTAATATCATCGAGAGAACAAGTTGCAGGCCGACAATCACCATACCGTGAGGCTCAAACCCTGTACCCTGGCCACAGCATTGAGGATGGGGAGAGTGATGATCATCGGGACTGCAGCAGCCATTGCCGCAGAATAGATCGTTTTTGAGCCGAAACGATCATGGAGATCGGCGAAGAAAAAGATCTGGAACAAGCCGTTGATGACACCATAGATAGCTAGAATATTGCCGATGCGTGGGGGATCTAATCCCCAGCCCACCGAGTTCTAGCGGGGTGGCGAAGAACAGAGGTTGCACAGCACGAAATGCGATATCGAGAAGTGACAAAGCGGCATAATTTCCAGCAGCTATGATCACTTTGGGTATCAAGAGCGAGCGAAGGGGTAGTGGCTGGAGTCAGCGTTTGCCACACTGAGCGGTATCTTCGGTGCATAGGGAATCAGTTGATCCTGTGGGTGTCACGGGGACCTTGACAGGGGTGGAATCTTCGCAATATTTCCCCTTGAGCAAGCGCCCGAGAGTCACCCTGGCAGGCACAGTCTGTCAATCAAACGTCATCAACTTATTATCCTCCTGCCAACCTTGCATGTTAACGTACCTCTTGCAAGAAAAGGAACGTGACGACCCAAGCCAATGCGGAAAAGGTGGCAGGTACAGCACATGCGAGGAAATAGGGATAAGTCTTCAAGAATTGGGAATGTCCGAAGATGTTCGGAAACCGATCAACTGGTCGGGATAACGATCCGCCTATAAGGGGGCTGCGAGGGCGTCTTATTTCCAGAAGCGATGTGAATTATCACAGGAACATACCCAAGGGTCCCACCACTTGACCAAGCTATTGGCATATACGCATATGCCTGGGCTAAGTTGGTAGAGTCGGTAATCTCTACC